CCCCCGGGGGCTCGGATGGGTTTGCACCCAATACCCCTCGTCCGGACGAGCGGCGGAGGGACAGCAGTTTTACGGAAGATCCGGAAGGAAGTAGACGGACTCCCCGACTCTTCCAACCGCTCAAAATCATCACCTACAAAGGGACAAAGAAGGAGGAAGGTTTCAGCAAGTGTTTCCCCTGCCGGCCCACTCTCTGGTAAAATGGCCGGCAATGGTCAAACCGGGCCGGCAATGGGGGCCGGCCTCCGGCCCATCCGGCCGGCATTGCGGGGCACGGGCCGTCCTCTTGGGCCGGCAATGAAAGTTCTTAGCTGGCCCTGTCACCATCGTATTTAGTGGGTAGAACGGTCGGGATTTGATGACAATCCAAGGTTTTGGTCCCCAAAAAAATCCTCCCCCGTGTACTTCTGTCCAGAACTAGCCCATACTAGCCCCTCGGTAGGTCAGGTTGGAAGTTGGTCGATATTTCACACGCTGAAAAGCTGGAGGCTTATAAAAGTCTACAAAACCGGAGAAAATATTGTAAAAACTTCAATATATGAGGTGCGCGCGCAAAACAGTCCATATATTTCGGTGGGACTTGGGCCGGCAATGGCGACCTCGGCCCGGCCCAACGGTCTCAGGCCCCGGCCGGCCCGGCGGCCAGCAATCAAAATAATTACGGGAAACACTCGTTTCAGCGCTCATAAGTTCATCGAGCGAATGGAAATTTATCTTGAAAATACCCCCGGTCTTACGCAGGGACAAATGGGCCTCACTCTTTTCCACAATCTGGGAGAAGTGGCTCAGGATTGGATTCAATCCGCCAACTACGCTTACAAAAGCAAGAATGGCGACTCCCTGCTCAACCACAGGGACACGCTGAAGGAAAAGTTCTTAGCGCGTTTGGAAAGTCTGACCCCGCAGAGAGCACTGTCGAAATTGGACAAGTACAGCAGGGCAAAGACGAAGCAGTGGGGACCCTCGCCCAGAGACTCCGTGACTTGTTCGTGCAGGCCGACATCAATCACGAACAGGTCAAGATACATCATTTTAAGATGTCGCTCCGCAGTCCTCTGCGCGAGCAACTTCACACTCGGGGAGCTTCGACTTTTGACGACGCGGTGGATATCGCGGAGGAACTCGACCGGGGCCTTTGGGCTATGGAGAAGGCTCCGACGGCTAAGCCAACAGCGCCGCTGCGGGTCACCGCGCGCGCTACGAACCAAGTTCGACTGACCGAGGCCGACAGATACTCTGAAGCTGATTCAGAGCGCCCACCGGACGAAGACTTCGACACCGCCCGGTTGACTCAATAGGATCCCCACCACCCGCCGGTCGCTACCCCGATCGAAATAATGGCGCAAGGAATGAGCGCCCTCCGCAGCAGGGTCGGACTAACTTCCCCCCGACCAAGCCCCGAGCCTGCTTTAACTGCGGCAAGACGGGGCACGTGCAGATGAACTGCCCCGAGCCACAGAAGAACACGGCCCGCTGGGCTAACGGAGAAGAAGTCGACTATGGCTACACCGACTGCGACACTGAGACAGTTTACGAAGACTGCGAGCCGCCCACTATTCTGCAC